CCGGCTCAGTAACGCGAGCGAGCCCGCCGCCGCCGCCGCACTGACCGTGCCGGGCCTGCCGACCCTGCTAACGACATGGAGCACTTCATCGAGACCGTTCGCAAGTACCCCTGCCTGTGGAACACTACAGCAATTGAATACCGCGACCAGGAGCTGAAGGACGCGGCCTGGGCCGAGGTGATGAAGGAGACGGACTTGGCGTCAGGTGAGCAGCCGAGCGGTGCGCCCCACGTAGCTGTGGACCACTGACTAGGTATAAGGTATAATACTTTATAATACAAGGAAGGAAGTCGACTCGCAACGCGCGATGTCATCTCTACCTGAAGCCTCTAGCTGCGTGTAGACACAAACACACACACAATCACCCGTGGGTATAATAATAATTGTTGGTAGATTGTTAGGGCAATAGGGGCGCCTTCATTGGCTAGTGGGGTTGTAGCGCTGCAGTCGTCCAGTCGCTGTTGTCACGCGGCACTTTACGGCAAAGAAGGCACCCTTATTATCGAATAATGAATACTGAAACAATTAAATATCACTAATAAAATACTCGTACTAGTGTCGTAGTAGTACTTACCTACGTAATAATAATAATATATTACGTAGATTTTTGATTCACATAGAAGAGAAGGTACTCTCGTTATAATAGGTACATAATAATTTATACCCATGCGTTGTAAATAAATCCAGTCAGTAAGTAGGTAGGTACCCAGTACCCGCGTAGGGTACAGAAGCGACGCCACATTTTGCATGCACTAGGTACCTACGGGTCTACCTCTAGGTATCTAGTCGATTTTACACCCCAGTGTGGTTTAGTAGGCCACCAGGGTAACATTGATATTAATCTGGTATTTTTTCATAGAATGTTTAAATCTCATTTAAAAATATGCCTGATCACTAGGGTTGCCAACCGTACTCTAAAATAGAGTATTGTCCTCTATATCCTGTAAGCGTACTCTGTAATCTATAACACTAATAGAGTACGCTAAAATACTCTTTTTACAATGTTTACTTAACTAGTGCCAGTCTGTAATAATACGCAGAAACCCATACAGACAAAATAAAAACATCTACAATTTACTGTTAATATGTATGTTGGTAATGTTGGTATCACCGATTGCACAAACACAGCAAGAGTAGCTCATCAGTACCATTTACTGAAAGAGTCTTTTAGGTCATGAATGTGAAGTGGGAATTAAAAAAATAAAAAATTGTTACATA